TCGAACTGTTGCCAATTTACGACCTACTACAAATTGCGGTATTAACGAGCATAAAGGATAAATGACGAAAATTATGATCCCCGCGGTTATAACATTGGTATTGGCGGGGGAGCCTGAAGAAACGTGTGATTTGAACACGATAACTACTATGTGACGTGTTAGTTACGAGTTATGTTTTGCAAAATTCGCATCATGCCGTAATTGTAAATATCAAAAACCAATTTTTTCAATACTTTTTGACAAACGTAACTTACACTTTGAATTTTAGTATTTTCCTGCATTAAATACGTATATTATACGATCTTAAATATTTCTACACGCGGAAGGTGAATGTGTCAAATGAACGTTCAACCGTGAGAAAATCTTACGCTTACTTTTCCAGTACCTACGTCGCTAACTAAATCGGCACTCAACGATAAAATAACAGTCTACCCGTGAAGAATAAAATGAAATCGCTCTAGGGACCGAGGAAAGTTTCAAAACGATAAAGTATTGTCAGCCATCGAAATCCTGATACTCTCCCCCAAGGTACGAACACGTCCGGTGGGTGCCAGTGCACACGGGTTCTAACGAATCGAGAGAGCGGTCACCACCCTTCCCGTCTAACTAACGACCCGGGTACTTTAAACTGTAACTTGTTCCGAACGTGTTGGCCGTGGCTACGTGGGCATCGAAACAATGCGCCTGATGGACAATACTTATTAGTTTCGGAGGTGGGCGAGCATGCTCTTCCTCTTTCTCCACGTCGTTGTACCCCCATTGTACAAGTTGAAGGTATGAAGCGAGGCGGGCGAAACGCCTACAAGTCTGACAAGGTGCCAGCGCATCACTCCTGAAGTACACGAAACCGTCTGGAAGGGAACAGCTTCGCCTCCCCCCCTTCACCCACCCCTCCTATACGAATAAAAACCCGACAACGGATTTCCCGACTCACTGTGATTAATTCAGACCCTCCCTGTTACACTGCGCTCCGTGGCCAGACTGCCTCGGACCTCGCCCTGTTTCTTTTTTCGAGAGATTTCGCGACGCTACCGCGAACGAAGTTACCTATTTGGGGAGATCGTAACCCAAGTAGGTGTTACTACGTATCTATTAATGAGTAGGTACCATTACTTCCTCCAAACTTCAATATACCCTTCGAAGAAATGTAAATATACACGAGCTTATAATATAGTTCTAAACATATAACACTAACTGTTCCACGTAAGACCTCCCCTCGATGGTAGGGATGACGTCTGAACACTCAATGACGAGGAGCCTTCGAACACTCGTCCATGATTTACTGTAATTAATTTTTGGAAATTTCCGATAATCGACCTTCTACCGAAATGTTCTCAAAGACAGCTCGCGATTTATCCCCAGCGAATACACGATTCAAAAGAAACCACTCCCTCCGTTTCTACCCTTCGAACACCTTATTGATAGCCGTAATTTACCTATTAAACGTGCTTGAAATGCACCGTGATGTCGTGTCGGCAGGACAATAAGAAAGCATAACGTTCGCCTGTCCAAAACCGCGGGAGGATTACCAAAGCGAGAGCCACAACAAAGTCGATACACCGCCGATCGATAAATCAGGGCTCGCGACCGGTTCGAGAGAGAGTGGTATTAAGCCCCTATCGCATTACGCGGAAAATAGGCCGTCCGAACGAATATTTGGACCGCGCGACCAGTCGGACCAGTCCCCGTTGGGGTTTTGCTAAGGATGCGTCCGCGGTACCGAATCATGAATAAATTTTAACGAGATTGCACGCGGCGCAGACCGTTCCCGTACGTGGCTGGCCCACTACACGCTATAGGTATATGCGCCCAGAAACGAGGATGATAAATCAAGCCGCCTAATCAGACCGCTTCATCGAGCCCACTTTTTGGGAAGTTATTACAGGGAGGGGTGAATGGAGAAATGGAGAACCGATAACGCGGCCCTAGCGAAAAAATCACCGGGGTGAAATTGAATAATGATAGCGTCGGAATGTGGCCGAAAGAAACGAGCAACGAGGCTGTATTTTAACGATGTAGGATATAAACGTTTCATTAAGAGTGTATTCGAATGCAGAAAAAAACTCCTGGAATCTTCCTACGGTGAATCACGCATTTTTTGCTTTATATACATCTATACAGTGAGTCGTCGATTATAATTATCCAATATTATATATTTCTATCGAGAGAAAAATGTGAGATAATGATGCCAATCTTTTGGCATTAGTGTCACCTAAATCTGCCCTAAACCTGTAGGCTGTAGACACCTCAAACATTAACATTTCTCTGTTAAATTAGTTTCATTTGTATTCGAACAACCTAATATCAGTAACACTCGACGTCTTAGATTAAGGGGGACCGCGGTATATCGGATAACATCGTGCTCGCCGTAAAGTCATATAAAATTATCGTCAAGGAGCTGTCGAAAAGACTTTGACCGACCTGTGTGGTCTAATGCGACGAACACGATACCGACCTGGCTAATCGGTGCTTTTCGAGAACATTCGAGCCAATACCGAGCTACCAAGGAGCGCTCGTGCGCGACCAAGCCTAATGAATAGCATTTAATTAAAGCCTATAAATCCACACTCTACCGTCGAGTAGTCCCGCCGTTCCTCGGGGGGACGCGACAGAGAATTTCACGGTCGGCCGAAAACACCGAATCGAAAGAAGCTGATCGTTGGACGGGGCCCGAACAAGGATTTTCGACGATGCAATAAAATTTCTGGAATGTGTTTCGCTCATTTGGGTACACTACACGCAACGGGCGACTCGGTAACTTAGAATTCTGTTAACGCCATTCGATACCTTGTAAACCTGACGAACTTCGGGATTAATTGAAAATGTTATTTAAATCACGGACAGAGGAAACATTCATTCGACCTGTAAATTAATGCAAACACAGAAGAACCTCGATTACTCAACGTCGGTAAAGTAACCCGTTATAATTTTACACGTTTCGTTCGTTTTAATAACTTTTCCAACTTCTCCTCGGACCAGTTCGGCTAATCGACATCGTTCCATCGTAATCGTATAAGTGCACTTTTAGTAACGACGAGTACACCTCCTACGTTCGATGTTTCCATACAACAAAAATCCCGTTGAATTCGAAACACGCAGAACCATTTCGGAGACGTTGCAGAGGCGTTTTCCGCGGGAAACCGCGAGGGAATTAAATCAACGTTACGATTTATAATGGTAAACCGACATTAGTTACTTGTATCATCTTATCGGTAATTTATATGATAACCTTCTACAAGCGAATGCACTTAATGAGCTAAGGATGTTTAATAGTTTTGTTTTTTTTTTTTTCGTTGTTTACGCGTACTGGAAACCGGATAGGGCGCGCTTAGAAACACCTCGCCCAGTCGTAAAATCCTACACAAAGTCCCTGCGCGCAGAGACCGCGCACAAGAACACGTGATGACGCAATATGGGATTCCTAGGGGGGAAAAAACAAAAGCAAACAGGCCGAATAAATTGTACAACGAAACTCGGAGACGCGGGGTAACCTGTGCTGGCACTGGAAAACTCGTACGGGAACGCGAGCAGCACCCGACGAATATTTATGCAAATGAATGCGTTAAAACGCTCGCGATACAATTTACTCTGTCGTTATCCAACGCTTTACTATCAACGTCGCGCTGCCCGGTAAACCAAGGAAACAGTTAGCGCGCACCTTCTCGTAAAGCTGCGACTAGAGAACGAGCTTTAATTGCAACCGCTGTACGCATGGCGGATGAGAGGTTGTCGATTTTTACTCGGATCGCTACGCGACAATTCAATACTGAATTTAGATCCGTTACGAATGGGGAGCACAAGATTTTATAGTTGCGACCGTAGTAAGTGGAGTGTGTCATGTGAAACGTTTCGATTGAATATATTATAGATATGGTATTCTTCTTGTGAATATCCAAGCGGATTTCTGTACTAATGTTTCTTGCTATTTATAGCTCTACGATCGGAACTATTCTCCTGAACCTGATATTAGAATATAAAACTAAAGTTCCTAAACGTGTGTATCGTCACCAAGAAATATAACTATCCCTTCGTATAATCTAATGAAAGGACATCTAAATTTCCATATCAGTCAAGAATTACCAAAGAATGTTGTACGAAAAAAAATTCCGTTCGATACATAAATCACAATTTGCGAGGTCGCGCATAGAAGCAAAAATGCAAAAGAAAAAAAGGAATAACGATCGTACGATCCTTTTTTTTCCAAATCCAACCGTATTTGGAGCTACATCGAAAGTATCCTCGGTCACCTACGCAGGTAGCTGCACCATGTATCTCAGAGTGAGCGGACACACATGCCTGTGACTCGCCTTCGTCCAGTGACTTTTCGCTTACAGAGCACCGGTTGCATTGTGTCTCGAGGCACGCTCTAGTAAGTATTTTCACGAGGACCGTTTGTAGCCCATTGAGGCGCGCACACACCGCGACCGATGTAAAAGCGATAACGACCGTCGTAGATCCGTCGCGAGGACATAAATAGAGACAAGTCTTCTTCCGGGTGGAACCTATTTTCGGAATCGTCGACGTTACGGAAAAAGTTATGTTTCCACGGGGAACGGAATGCTGCGTCGCATCAACGGGTTGCGGTTGAATGAGACCCCAAGCAAGAAATAAGGGATCGCACATAAAGAAATGAAACGGTACAATTCCCGGTGGATTGTCTGAATGACTCGAACCTGGTCTATGTCGAGGATGACAAAAACGTGAATGCCTTGAAGAACAGAAAACAGAACCACGTTGTCCTGAAGTCTAATGGAGACCTACGACGGTACTGAGTTACGCAGATATCGCATGAATTAATATTCATATCATGAAATTGTTACTTAGAGAAGGAGTGCTTAAACGAGCGAAGGAAAGAGGCACAGTATTACGAGGAACAGCAGAGAAAGGACGGAATATTTAAACAGCAACGGGTACAGCAAACTTGGAATAGAGCAAGAAAAATGGGAAGGGAAGGGAATAACAAAAATACTAGAAGGAAAAGATAAAGTAAAGCAAGAGCAATGGCAATGCAACAAGATATGGGAGTCAAAATACATTGTGATATAGCAGCATCTAAAGGTGTAAGAGGAAGCCAGAGCCTTATGGCTAGAATAAGATGTGGAAATATAGAAAAGGGAAATAGATACTAGAGGAAATAAGAGGACAGAATGTGTAGAACATGTGAAAAAGATATTGGAACGATGAGGTAGTAAGAATAACGAAAGAAAAAGACAACGAAAGAAAAGGGGAAAATGATACCAAAGAGTAGATAGGTGCAATAGTGCAAAGTTCTTGGTCGCGAGGTAGAAATTAAATAAATAAATATACATAAAAGTATATATCATCAAATTGTTATTTATCGTTCGGAGCGTGTCAAAACAGACCGAAAGACAGGGAAGATAAAATAACGATCGAATTATAATCTGGTAATCAAAACACCATGAACGAGCGATGAAACTGGTCGAAAATATGCAAAATATTTTCCCCCGGAAAAAATGATAATTCGCGGCAACCACGTATCCGGTGCGTCACCGGTTGGACGGCTTGCAAACGAGTCGAGGAGAATCGATTCGACACGATCTCCGGGAGGGTTGAATGAAGAAACAGAAAGAAAAGGGAATTGTAAGACCCCACCCTTTTTACGGCCTAGGGGCTACGGTGGTCCTTTTTCCTTTCCGAGAGCCACTGTGGATAATTGGAACCGCACCCACGAACTCTGCCTCGGTCTTTGCGATTGTCTCGCTTTTTCGTTCCCGTCCCTCTTCCACCAGTCCCGTGTAACTTCTTTACCGAAACTCATGAAACGATGTCTGGGACCCCTTATAAACGTAAAGTCTGATAAAAACTCTTAATTAAATGTCTATAACCTGACGTTAGAACTTTCCAACGTTTGATAGGAGAAAGGGGGCAGAAGGTGATCCTCGTAATTTGAAAAGAGATTATTTGCTGAACTAACAGGGTTACTTTGAAGAAATAGAGTAAGTTCTTGTAAATATAATACCGACTTTGTTGCATAAGAAAGTAATGTAATTGACACTATATTACAAAATTGAGAATTTTATCGAAGACAGATTTGATTGATCAGTTTGGCTTCAGAAGTTTAGATATTGTAGGACACCCGGTGTATATAGAACTGGGATCGTATTAGTAAGCGTGAGAGCCAGTTAATGACGAGTCAATTCGTTTCTTCTCCCCCTTAATGTAGGATGCATTCCACCGTGTGTGATAATGGTACACATACAGCCGATAAGCTTTTTCCCGGTACAGTTTCGTTAAAATGCCACTTCGACTCGTAAGTGCGTCAGGTGCTGGTGCCAGACGGAAATGATAGAAGCTGTGGTACTTAGAAAGAAGTACCTCAATCATTCCCGCCATAAGCATCAAATGTGAGAACGTTTGTTTATCTTGCAGGCATATTGGATTTTAAAGTATCTATGGTACGGTTACAATCGACCTCTTAACATGTGAGTTCAAATCCCGAGGTAAATACAACATTTTTAAACAACGGAATAAAATTAATTAGATATATTACTATTAATGTTATCAACGGGTCAAAAGAATATTTACTGTCTTTACCTTAATTACTAAATCTACTTCGGGACACATTGTATGCAAGAAAACATTTGCAAATCTTAATATCTTTAACCTAAATCGTTATTTGACTGTGCATAATGTAAAGGCAGTAATATAATTTTCTCTTTTCTGGTGTTTTATATTTATTTACTATTTATTTCAAGAATGGCTATAAATTCAATTTTCTGCAACGAACATTCCTTTCGCGACCGGGAAAACGATGAATCTGACTTCTGTGTTAATATATTGAAGAGACAAAATTGCGGGTAAGATTTTATTTTTTTTTTAATATTACCATTCTTATACTAAACTCCGTTTCTTTATTTAATTTCGCAAAGAAACAACGCCACGTCCAGTTGCGAAAATTGCGAAGTGTCACCGAAAGAATCGAACTTCTGTATGAAAAAGTTGTACCGAAATACTAGGTAAAATATTTTAATATGCAAATATGTCATATGCATCGAACATGTAATTCTTCTTATCGATTAATGTTTTAAAAGGTCTAGAAATATTCCTACATGCGTAATACAGTCAGTGTCTTGTAATGAGTCAGGCGATTCCAATTCACTTACTCGATCTCTCCAACTACCGTGTACGAGGTAAATAATGTTCCAGAATAAATAAATTCATATAAAGATAAAGTTGGTGTAATAATAACACATACACCAGCGAAATTAAAACTCGATTAAGGAAAGAGGATACTACCGTTTGTACAAGTAATTCTGTCTGTCGTGATGAATCAAACGAATCTAGATCATCTGCTGAACTCGCCACACCGACATGTACTAGGTAACATTCTAGCAATAAATTCAATACAGTATTTTCTCCCTATAATCACGCTTCCTCAAACTCTTTATAATAGCATCACCATCCTCATTATATCATAAAGCAAGTTGTCAGTAAGCAATCTTTGCAATCTCTACAGAGATGAAGAAAATTTTATCACATGTCTTTTTCTTTGAATAATATTTCAGACAAATGTTTATCTTGATTCAATAAATAATGAACAAAAACTTTCTACAGAATTATTGTACAAAAACATTTTTTTAAAGAGCTGAGACCATCACCGTTTGCCAAAACCCAACAGTATGTGCAAGTACGTCAAACGAATTTGATTCCCCCGATATGGTACTCGAGAAATCATGCCCAAGGTATCATTGGTAGTATTACATGAAACATTAAAAAATCCGTACAGTATTGAAAATAATGCTCTCTCTGTTTTCAGAAGAGAAATGCCATTTTACGTTTGTAAAAAACAATCGGTATGTGGATATAATGTATGGACCATGTGTAATTTACGTACTCAAAGTGTTGAGTCGTGTACTAGGTAATGTCTGTAACTATTTAAAGAAAAATTAGAAGTTGGTATAATCCATAGTATAAACATGTAAGAATGACAAAAAAAACCGTACTCCCGTTTGCAGAGAACCGTGTACATGTGACGTTGCATCAAAAGACTCCAATTCATCTTCCGATGTCATCCAAGAGCCGTGCACTAGGTTATAAATCAATTAAAATTATTAGAGCAATAACTGAATACCGCCTTGTACGAAGATTTATCTAAATACGGTCTTTTTTTATTTAAGAGGAGAGAAAACAACTGTTTGTGTAAATCAGTCGGTATGTGGCAGTTCATCTACTGAAGATCATCAACAGCCTTGCACTCGGTTGCAAATCAATTAAAATTATTAGAACAATAACTGAATACCGTTTTGTACGAAGATGTATGTAAATATGTTCCTTTTATATTTAAGAAGAGAGAGAAGAACTGTTTGTGTAAACCAGTCGGTATGTGGTAGTTCATCTACTGAAGAACATCAACAGCCATGTACCAGGTAACAGTACAACAATCACTAGAATGAGAATTTTTAAAAGTTATTATAAACTTGTCTAAATAGTATATATCTTCTCATTTCCGAAAGGGAAGAAGCATTATCAGTTTGTATGGACCAATCGATATGTGGACAGAAGTCGGCGGAGTCCAGCATATCTGTTGAAAATTTCGAACAACCATGTCCAAGGTAGCGCTATCAATTCTTACGTATAGGTGAAAAATATATGATTCGTATTATCCATCATCTATCTAAATTTTTATAAACGGTAATATATGTGGGAAATAAATAAAACAACAGTTGTTCTATTTTTTTACCCAAAATCGACAAAAGAAAACTGAGGATATGACTGAATCTAATATTCTATAACTCATTTTTCTCTATAGAAACGAAGCTTCTCGACACTCCACCTGTGGAAACTATTCAGTATGTTACAACATAACGGAGGAACAGGATCTTCTCGCAGAAGAGCTGCTGAAACGACTTTCAAGGTAATATTTCAATTACAATAACGACATAGAGACGCGCGACAATAGAATGCCCAAGAAGAATAAAGTTTGAAACAATGCCACACAGAACGGGACACGGGGACGCGTCACGAAGACATTGGGAAATGATGCTGCACTGCGAGAGGGCCGCGTTTCCAAGGGGGCCCTCGAATTTGCGTCTGCCCTCGAGGGAGGTGCGTATATCACCGAAGGAAACCCGGTGAATCGAGACACACCGGGGAGAACTCAATTAACCCGAACGGCTAGGACTCAATTACGAATGTCGGTCGGCGGGAACGTGCCCCCGTGGCCGGTAATTAAAAAGTTATTATGCCCAGGCCCGTTTCTACTGGCACCTGTACTCAACCGCGGCAAGAAACTCAGCTCCGTACCAGAAAGATGTAAATCAAGCACTCCTCGTGACCCTGTCCAAGTGAGTACGTCGATTGACGTGACGATTTGTCAGAAAGAAGTCCAACGATTCTATGGATATTCACTTTAGATTTTATATCAACGGTGTCACGATCAACCGATACTCTCCAGACGGTTCCGTATTAGGATCTACACGCGTTCAAACATTAATTTAGTGCTTAAGCAACATTCGGAAAAGTTTGTTTTTATTATTAATCCTCATAGATTGATACGTAGTCGGCAACAACAAAAAAATATCAGCATATGGGAGCAACTAATACGTCTAAGAACCTTCGATCCTATTGGCCGTGAAACCCTGATAAACAGTCTTGCAGCACTCATCTAGTAAGTGAGTTTTTCAAGAATTTTCTGTACGTTCGTATACAACTATAAGCACCAGCCGTATCCTGTACGCTTGTTAACAAAAAATCATAAGCATCACATACCGGTCAGTAAAATTTTATGCTAGACGATCGTGCAGCTGTCCTATTTCCATTGTGTAAAATCGATACATATATAAAATCATAAAATCTCGATGGAATAGGGAACGTCGATTTCAACATACTAAGATTTATTTTACATGCATATCGTACATTGTAGTAAACAGAATAGCCTAGAATCTATTTGCCTGGAAGGTTTGTCATTAATACCGGATGAAGGTATACGACTTCTCACGGCGTTGTACAACTCTCGTGAAACAATGAAATACGTGTATTGTTGGCGCGCGTTCGAGAAAATGGTTGGCATCTCGACAGACGATGACTGTCGGGCTGGATCAAGATTTCGTCCGATGAAAAAGATCAATAAACGCGACTGGTTCTGTGCAATCGGTTGTTTAGAATGTCTCACCACCCTATCTATAAACTACGAGTACATAGCGACTCCCACGGGGGATCTGCTTGTAAATCTGGCCAGGTACATAAGCTGCTTAATCTTTTCGTTAGTTTTGATTTGTTTCATAGTACTACTTAACAACACGAAACTTAATGATATTCATAGTCACCGATAAAATCAATAAGCATAAATGCAGCCAACATCTAACCTGATATAAAAATTTAACCTCGAAACTATTTATATAAGTACAATGCTTTAAGAACACACAAAATCGAATACGGAAATGAACTTTATTAAAAATATTCATTGTTCAATTCACACAATCAATCATAACGAAAATTATTTCCCAGTGAAAAAGAAATACGTTATAAAAAGTGCACAACTATTTCTTTTGGTGCTGATTAATTAAAAAGATGTAGTAATATGTTATAAATAACAGTACCGTCTAAAGAGCTTTTAACTAGTATTTAACATATTGCTGTGAACGCAGAAAACTTCAGCGTAATTGGCAATGGCTACAACTACTGTGTCTAGAAGAAGAAGTACAAAATCGTGTTTCAGTGAAAAATAATGGACTAGTCCTGATACCCGACAAAGCATGGAGAAAAGCGCATTCTTTAGCGCCAGCACTTAAAATACAGTATGCTATAAGTAAGAAACTACTCAATTGACAACTATTTAATAATATATTTTTAATTTACATCCTACGCAACAAACATGAATTACATTCGTCTCTAGTTGGAATACCGGAATACGATATTCACAAACAGTTCTTGACAAAATCTACACGGATACACACCTTCGCACTGTCTACAGGCATTGACCTTAGATTTCGACAACCCTGGTGTCTTGATTGCACGATTAAAACACTTTGCTCGTGGTATTCGAACTCATTAGGTAATCAAAACTGAATCATTTCTATTTAAACTACGAGTCTCTTTGTCGTTAATCTTTCGTACTGTTTTACCCTACGACTATTTCCAACTTACGCACTACATATTTCAAATCACGGGTTGCTCCTTAGTGCCACCTGTGAGGAGCCGACCACACGAACCCTTCTTATCGAGAGAAGATGCCGGTATCTCAAAAAACTAGTGATTACAAATACAATAAACGCTCGTTTATTGCATCTTTCGGGGTATAGGGGGCCAAATTTCAAGGAATTGATCAATTAACGAGTTCAATTGTTCGACGTAGTTAAATGTAGGGTGGACTGAATGTACGCACCTTTTGATCACTTTAATCGTGTGTTACGTTGAACGATAACAAAAGAGTTTATGCTCAAAAGTTATTTAGTATTGAAACATTATATTAAAACAATATTATATATACCGCATTTTCTATGATAAAAATATATAAATTAAACGCGACATTATATGTAGCCGTTCATTTCTTGCTCGGTGACAGACTGGGTTACGTCCACTTGTACATATGTATGATAAATACATGTGAACGAGGAGCATTCCTAAGGTGCAATAAACTGGCCAACACTAAACGAACGTCTACTGAACAGTATACGCTCGGTTAATGCACGCACGATTAATCACGATAGGAACACAATACTACTCTGTCGCCCAGCAAGGAACGAACAGAATACACACGGTTATTGCGTTTAACTCAAATATTTTTCATTCCCAGAAACAGCAGTATATAAAAAATTGCAAATGAAAAAATAGCAGCCTCCTACGGGAGGCTCAAACTGTCCACTCTTTGCATTCCATTTACTTAACCGAAAACCCCGTGAGAGGACCATTTGTTTTTCCACAACACTAATTTATTAAATATGATGTGAAAAAATCCCAAGAGCAGCCACATAGGCGCTGATCACCCGCAACACTAATCAGAATCATTTGTTAATAAGTATCCAGATTCTCAAAAAACGCGAGAAGTGCATTCTCTATTCGCCACACTAATTTACTGAATCCAAAAATAAAAAAAAACTCCCGTGCACCTTCATCTCACAAAACGCAACACTAACTTTAAATTGGCGAAATCGGTACAGCCACTTAGGCTGTGAACCACTCTTCGCAGCTATTTCAGCTACTTTGTGGTTCTGGTGTGGTTTCAGCTTCGTTTTGGGCATTTCATAATTCGCAACACTACAAACAAACCCGATCAATCTGTATCGCAACACTAACTCAACAGAAAAAACTGACTATTTGAATCAATCAACACAATGACTTTAATTCAACAAAACTTTAATTCCAATAATAAATATAAGCAATCGCGCTCAGTCATTATCGCAACACTATCTGGAAATATAAAAACTATCTCAAAACAAACGCGAACTCATCATACGCAACACTATTCTTTAAGTAATTAAGAAAATCAATAATTACAATTTACAAGACTAATGCAACCCGTGATCTACTCTTACGCAACACTAATACAATCCGCGATTTTGCCCAATATTGCTGGTCGTTGGGCCGATATGGCGGCCAACATAAAGACTACTACTACAACTACAGGCGAGTACAGTGAAAAACTAGTAATGACTCCACATCCGAAGATGCAGAGCCATTCGTTGCTGCCCTCTTGAATACACAGTTTGTGCTGGGCCTCTTCTTTTCTTCAGCGGTCCGCCCATCTAAAACCCTCAAACTGCTCGGTTGTGGACGACCAACAACTCCAATCCAACGACCCCTTGGGGTTCGCCGAATTTGAAGAATCGAAATCAAAATCGAAAGCAGACAGCATGCTCTGTCTGGACCAACTTCGAATCGACGCTACAAATTATCCCGGTAGCAGGACTATGACGCGAAACCTCAGCGTGATCAGAGAATGTGATAGCCTGCCCCGGCCCCTACCTACTTACAGTCTAATCGTACATTCACAGACCAGAAAGTATGCTACCTACCTACGTAGCCCTCTATTTAAAAAAAAAATTGGCAAAAGACAGATTCTCACCAACACACAACACTCCACGGTTCTCAATCATTTGCCCGGGTGCAAATTAGCCTAACACCTAGGGAGGACGTCCCGGGACACCTCCGACACCCGAACATGATATTCAACTTGCACACTCTAATAGGTACGTACCATTTTCCTGAAATCGACTGGCAAAGGCTAGCATCCATTGCGAGAATAGAAAAATTGTTTAAGCAATATACGTATACTTAGTACACTTTATATCGATTACGCGTTAATTTTCTCGTCTGATAGCGAGATACTCTAAACCGGTACATATTCCATGGAAATTTTATTATAAACATTGTATAAAGCAAAGGAATATGTACGACCGATACCGGAAATTGTGCGAAATTGTTCCACGGAACAATTACAGATGAAATGTTAATTGATAGAAATCTAAACGACGCAATTCCACTGCCTAATCACACACACACATAAGTGGAAAATACGTCGTGCACGGTAAGCTAACGCATTGCCAGTCGCATAGACATGTTATTATTATATGAAATCAAGTCATCGTTCCCCGTTGCTCTCGCCCAACCAAGTAGCACCTGGGCACGTGAAAGGGTTCGAGCAACGAACACGGAATAATTATCCTGAAAATCCTAACTAAAATAATTATTACTTTTTGCTCTTCTAACGGGCTACTTCTCTTTTATTCTTTTTCATTTCATTTTGCAATAAAAGTGACTCGACTTTGTATTAATAAAAATTGAAAATCAAAGATTGACTATTTATTAATATTGTAGAATTTAGTTATTAAGACTCTAAGCAAGACTCTGCAATTAGATAAATGACTCTATGTATTGAATAACCCTCGGGCGATCCCGTCGTCAAAGTCAATATAAGACATAACATAAGTGTAACAAACATGTCACTTTGACGCAGAAATCTACCCGTCGCGAAACGCCTTCTTGTACATGGTCTGTAATATCATTTTTTTTAGTGTATCAAAATACACTACTTAATTTTTATTTATGTCTTAGAGCAACGTGGTAGTACGTATTTCTGATATAATTCAGTACAAACTGTTAATCTAGAATTGCATATTCTCAATGATGCTTCATGAATATTCTTATTTCTATTAAAACTATCAATGAAGACAAAAATATCAATCTCAAAACTTCTTCACAGTAAACTGATATATTATATATTGTATTCAAATAGTAAATAAATTTAAGTTATATTCATTTAGTTATTTGTCTACAAATGACGGTATAACTGTTGAAAATAATAATTAACAGACTAATAGGTGAAATAAAATTGTATTAAATACTAACTATCATAAAAATTAACTCTAATACCAAAGGTGTCCAAATGCCGCCCACGAGCTACAAGCAATTACAAGCTTCCCCTCGTAGGTTTCCCCGACTACCGACCTCAGATTGACTCGAGCGAGTCAATCCAAGTCCCATAGTCAGGTTACCTCCGGAGGGAAAGAATGCTGCTCGCAAGAGTAGATGGACACCTCTGGGCCTGCCCTTTTTTTGAAGGACAGAATACAAATACTCATTCCTTCTGAGTATATACGTCTACCATACCAATATGTTTAAGGAACGCTATACATGCTGGTGAAACACAGTAGTACCTTCCCTGCATTTAACGCTCACACTCCATAAAGTGGTCATGAGTAAACGCCAGTACGTTTCGGTACTCTACCCGTATACGTAACCGGATGCGTTCTTTGCCACTGGCAACGAAAACACCGGCCACGATAACTGGAAATCGCAATGCACTGTTCAATGGTCATACATACACAACGTGTTAAATTATTCCATAACACGCGGTTTTTCACTAGGGCGTGCATATCGATGCACAGGTGGCATAACTTAATACGTCTTTTTTTTATGCACCGATACTTTATTGCGATTTCCAGTACACGTGTTCCACTATTTCATGGAACTTGCAAATACGAATGATACCTTTGTGTCTTGCGACACTGGTTCCGGTATTTGAAACGTGCTGTCGTGTCTCGTGGTATTGCGCTAACTGCTCTAACATTCTGATCTGAGAAGGCACCACCGCGTTTTCCCCTCTATTTTAAACATACCAGTATGATTTCCATTCCTTCTACTCTACATTCAAATCTACCGTCGACATTTATCTCACACATTAATGAGTTGAATATTATTTTTGTATCAGCTAACCGTATTTCATTCTATATTCATAAATGATATCATAGGACTATATTGAAATGACTGCAGTGAAATTATTGCACGCATCATAATCAAATTACTACATTTTCTAGTGAAATGCATAACATACTACCATGTTCTCGATATATACTGAATTAATAAAAAAATACAAATTGTTCAAACAATAGAACACTCTGTCTTAAAATCCAAGATCAATATTTTGCGTTCACTTGAACAGTTAAAGGAACTACATTATAAGCAGTATGATTTCATCTGCATCGTGTTCACCTCTAAACTGAACTCTTAACATTTAAATCATAAATATACTTGTAATACGAAATATTTATGAATTGTATTACTAATAATAAACGCAGCGTACTAGAAGACCCTAGCCTACCTAAGAAACACAACGGATCAATGTTACTATTCGCTGATATGCAATCGTACGATTGCATATCCGCGTTCACTGTACTCGCCAAATTCAACACGTATACAACCAGTCACCCGTGTCGCTTCGGACCAATCGTCCTACGACATGACTGGGGACCAGAGGAATAAAAAGCATGCGACTCACCCGACGATAGAAGGACTCCTTGTAAGAGAAGAATTTCATTTTTTGGAGAAGAATCTGAAAAAAAAAGAACAGAATACGTTACAATCTCTTCCCAAAGTTCTAGCTACTTTGGCTGCATAATGTAAATAACAAAATATAAAGATACTTACATTCCTTGGTGGTGGAGCTTTGCCTGAGGACATCTTTTTGAGTGTTCAGTGATGAAATATGTAATGTATGTGAGCTTTGCCTGAGGACATCTTTTTGAGTGTTCAGTGATAAAATATGTGATTAATCTGAAAAGAAGTGAACAAAATTGTTATTATCTCGTCTCAAAATTCTAACTGCTTCAATTGAATAGTGGAAGTAATAAAATATAAAGATACTTACAATCTCTGTTGGTAGAGCTTCGCTCAAAAACATCCTCTTCAGTGGTGCACTGAATCTACCATTTCCGAACGAGCATTTTTAAATGCAAAAGAAGGGAAAAATAAAAGACCATCAATCGCGACCGAAGATTTCAGCCGGCGAACAAGTAACTATTTTCACGACTCAAAAAACAGAAAGAGTCCCGACACTCTGGAAGTAATGAATAATACGCAATAAACACTGACTCTAGTATCGCGAAGACTTAACATCTCCGGTGAGACTCTACACGGAGCCAGTTCGCTCCGAACAAACAAAAAAAACTTCTACGATTTGAACAACACTGACTTTACTCGACCGCTTTGCGCGCGGCCACCAAATTCTCCGAAAGAAAAGTATCCTTTTTATTTTTACATCTTACTAAGTGTTTACGGAAAAAATAGTGCCTTTAAATGACAAATACAAAGTTAAATATGCAAATATGGATTTAACTACGCAAAAATATAATAGTTTAAAAATATTCAGTGCTAAAGTATTACAAAATAATTCTTGAACTTGTGAATATAATATATCCATTATTTCTATATACCTGTTATTAATATATTGTCTTAAAGACATTCGTTATTAGAGTTGTAAGCATGATCGTCGTTTTTCTCTAAACCACGTTCCGAATTTTATAAATATTCAGAAAATCATTGTAAGTATAAGGCCAGGACTACACGGGCGTTTTATACTTCGCGTTTCTTCCGCCGAAATAGGAACTGTACGGTTTAATGTTAATGCAACTGACTTGACGGGCGTAGACGTATCACACGCGAAAAACAAAACATGCCGGCTATGCGATGTATTGTTTAGACTTCATAATGACAAACTTGGAAAATTATAAAAATTAAAATAATTTCGCGACCGGGATGCTTTAAAGTTCGAGTATTTCCAATTTCAATGTCTGGAAGCACTACGGTTTAAATTTTCTAACTGTCACAGAAGCCATATTGAATGCTTGAACTACGCATTTGAATGTAAAATACTTTTCGAAAGAATTTTTGCTTGATCTTAGCGCAGTAAAGCACGAAATCGCGATCATTCTTACGATAAAAAAAGTAAAAATGCAATAAAATAAAAATATGTAATGGAGTGTCTCCTATTTGTTGTAATTACTTACCAGAGTTGACCAATTTCCCGCCAATTTGCGTTTCAAGGGAGAGTCCCCTATCATGGCGTCGTTGGCGCGTTCTTTCTAGCCGGAATTCTGAAACAGAAAATAAACGTTATTACAAAGTAATTATACTAAATTAACAATGGTTGGGTTACAACGAAACAATTATTGACTCGAGAGTGTCACCAAAGATTGCAAATTATACAAAAACTGCGTAAATACTACTTGGTATCGGGGCAAGACAAAAGTTGTAAAGATCGGTTCACTTTATCTCACAATACCAAATTAATTTACGATTATTCACACTGAATTGAATAACTATTCAACGAAAGTAACGATAGAGAGCTAATGAAGTAATAATAGTACAAATGATTAGACGTGAAAGGTAATAATACGTACTTTCGCCACGAGCGATCTCATTTCACATCTTATCACTCCAGCTTCCCCGAGACAAATGACCCTCAGGCCGTGTTTGACTGGCTACGACCAATAGAAGTGATTATGTTACGAAGTTCGTGATTGGTGGCTCGGTAGAGGATGATAGCCCCCCCCCCCGCCTCCGACCCTCCTCCACTGTGCTATTTCAACGAAATAGAATATTCACCACCAAACTATGTATATTCCAATATATTTTTCTTATCCGTACCCAAAATTAACTCAACGGGGTATGACCCTCACAAAACGGAAAAACAGAGGCACAAAGACGATTTCGCGGAAATTTTCTTATGTAGTAAACCCGTAAGAGACCAATTGGTTGTAAACAAATCGCAGATTCACACATTTAACGCATACGTTTAACCATTTTACAAAAACTCTCATTTTAATTTACTCTACGATTAATAAAGGAATTCAACTACGTACACACCATGGCCTATCTCCGAAAATTTGGCATTCCAATTCATTTTAGATGGAAAATGTTAACTTTGCTGCCGTGTTCTCGAAGTTTGAAACACTGAAACTGCAATGCTACCAGATACTGCCCTTACGCCATCTACGAGAAATAGGTCCCGCCAATTTGACAATGGCGGCAAATTTTATGAAATATGTTTTTGACAGATATTATCAATTAAATAATAGATAAAAGCTTTTCTTTATGAAGAAAATAAAGAAAACGCAAACTTGGCAATTCTATTGAGTTGGATTAACTGAGCACGAGTCTAATTAAATCACAAACGAGATTCGTCTGTTTCAGTCACACATGCTAATATGATTTGGCGGGAACAATCATTTGCTTTGCTTAGGTTTAAAAGACAAATAACGTCATTTGATCACATCGTTTCGCTCCAATACACATTAACATCCTTTTGAATCCTTATTTTCTCCTTTTTCTACATTCTATAACGTTAAAGTACTATTAACTTATAAAATCTATTTTTATAACTTTGTTTTCACAATACATGTGTTATTTTTAGATATAAAAATTAAACAACTATTGCTTGCTTATCTTTAGTGTACTTATGTTTGCAATTGTGGCACAGTCGAGAGAACTTGGATATACAGTTAAGAAAGCTATTTTTGAACTTACCGTCTCTTCGAGTTTTTGAATATGTCGGTGAAATTCGGACGTTGAAAACACTTTGCATTATGTGTTGTCAAATACGATCGGGCAGTTGCAGTAATTATTTAGTCTTATGATTGTTACATATGTCTACACACTGTATCTGTGTCTATCAACTAATATATGTTTCAGGTGTTTGTCACGTCAATATGCAACTTCAGGACATTATACATGAGAACATTGATGAAGAAAAATGGGTAAAGAGTATAAAATGCTTAATGGTTTGTTTTAAACATGATTTTGAAAAACTGGGTATTACGTTCAACATTAACTTCTACAAATCGTGATCAAGGAACTACTATTAACAAGGAAAAGGAATTGTGAATGCGAAAAGTTTATTATTATTAACACTTGTGAAAAAATCTAAAAAAGTAAATGCTTAAAAATGCAGAATACATTAAAGCAAAATAAAAAATGGCTATTATAACAATTCATTTATATATTACAAATAAGTTATTTAGAAAATTTATTTAATATATTATTGTTATTCTGTTGATTCTTGTTGTTCAAACTTTGGATACTTTGCTTCCACTTCAGACCATGTAATTTTACCATAGGACAGATCCCTTACAACACTTGGAAGTTCATCCAACTGTAATTAAAATAACAAATTATTCTTCATGTAATCATTTGTCCTTTTATTTCGAATCTTCAAAAACATTTACTCACATTTATTCTAACTTGTCCCATACTGTCCCTTTCGCGCAATGTAGCACTATGAGGTGTTTTCAAAGTATCAAAGTCTATGGTGATACCAAATGGTATGGCAATCTCATCAGTTCGTGCGTATCTGCGTCCAATACTACCAGAAGAATCATCTATTTTATGAGAAACATCTAGCTTTGTAAGATTCTGAGCTGTAAATAATAAATAAGATTTGGATAAGTATATTTTGATAATTTTGTACCTTGAAACATATTTGAGAAATAACACACTTACACAATTGTTTTACAAATGGTACAAATTCATCATTACCACTAAGTGGTAACACTGAACATTTTAAAGGTGCTACAACCGGCGGCAAACTAAAATAAGTTCGCTTTTCATCTCCTTCCCTTGTTCTAAAGTTATGTTCAAAGATAGCGTACATAATACGTCCTATTCCGAAAGATGGTTCGATTACAGAAGGAATTATTTCTTCTACATGCACAGTTTTCTGATATCGTTTTACTTGAATCATATCTTTCGTAATTTTTATTTTAGTATCATTGGAAAGCTTCAGATCGTGTTCTCCCTTCTCATCAAAATCGGCTTCTAAAGCATTGATTTCACTCTCATTTAATGCTTCTAATGCACTCTGAACTAGTTTACTATCTTTCTTAAATGTTTTTCCAATTAAAACTTTGTTTGGTACTATTTCACATATGTCAACATTTTTTGGTGCTGGTAATTTTTTCTCAGCAACTAGTTTAACTCCAGTGGCTTTAGTATGTTGAGTTAAATCATAAGCAGAACGATCTGCACAACCAACACATTCAACCCAACCATAAGAAGTTAAACATTCAGCATCCCAACAATCGCATGCATAATGAGCCATTTCATTTCCCATATGCTGACGGAAACGTAGTTTTTTTGGATCAACTCCCACTTTCACTAAAAATTGATAAATTCTACCCATAAAGTACCCTAATGTCTCATTAGCTATAAGCTTGCTCATCACAGCATCACCCAAAGTTATGTGCTCAGCACTCTTCCCATCCATTTGATTGCAAGCAGAATATAAAAGTAATTTTAAATCTTTAATTGTTTCAAATTTAGGATGACTTTTATCATTAGGATCACAGAAATGTTCTATTTCTGCCATAGTGAATTCTCTCACTCTTATCAGCCCAGATCTTGGAGAAATTTCATTACGGAATGCATTTCCAATCTGAGCTGCAGCAAATGGTAGCCTTTCTTGATTAAATGCAAGTAACCTTTTAAAGTTTACAAAAATACCTTGAGCAGTTTCTGGTCTCAGGTATCCCTTTATAAGACCTGAAGGACCAATTTGAGTTCCAAACATTAAATTAAATTCTATAGGTTCTGTTAAATCATTCCCAGAGATAGGAGACTTCATATTGAACTTGATCAAAACAGCAGCCATTTCACCTTTTGTCATTCCATCTAATTTTATAATAATGTCTCTGCACTCTGCACGTGTATTATCATCAGTTTTTTTATCGCTAATAATTTTCTCTAAATGTGCTTTAATTAAGTGATCTAATCTAAAGCATTCTCCACTCTTTACATCCTTCACCATTAAGTCTGCAAATCTTTCAACATGTCCAGATGCTTTAAGTACCGGTTCTGGTGTTAAAATAGAACAATCAACTTCTAACATTTGTTCCTCTAATATGAAAAAGTTTCTCCAATGATTTAATAAATTTGTCTTAAATGCACAACCCATAGGGCCAAAGTCAAATTGACCAGTGATTCCACCATAAATTGCAAAAGACTGATCTAAGTAAAATCTTCGTTTTAAGAGATCCTCCATTCTTGCTTTATCAAATAATGTTGTTTCTGATAGAGATAATTCTTTGTCTTCCAACAACTTCTTACGAAGTTTAAGTTCAGCAACTGCTTTCTTAATGTCCAATTCTGGAGCTCCATTAGATTTAAGTTTCCGGACATAATCGCCCTTTAAATCAAATTTAATAAATTAATAATATAATTAATTTTAAATGCGAAATATTTAAAATAATTGTAATAATAAAATACAATTAAATACATTAATTCAGTATACATACACATGTACAGTAGTAATATTCTATTGTTATACAGACATATATTATGATCTGTTACACGTGCATTTTATAATGAATAATAACGATCCATATGGTACTACCTGTTCCTTAACATTAGCGCGAAGAGGTGACAGGATTTCTTCAATTTTTGGATCCGACATATCTGTGAAAATTTGTATTTTCACTTTCCGGGTCTTTTTCACTGTACCCCAGTTGTTAAAATCGGCTAACCTAGCGGTAACGGTAAATTTTCGCAGAGGCTGTTTGTTAATTGTGTTGTCCTTACATATGCCTCGTGCTGCTGTTCTGCAAAGAAAGAGTAGGTTACGCGAAATGCACTGCATTCGCAAGACTTTCCACTTTGATGCCTGACGAATACACGGAATACACGATTTCAACGATGCCTCTTACTCGGAACAGTAAAAAATTCAGTGATTCAGGTCCCGATTTCTAATAATACGGCACTGTTGGCGGCAACAACTGATGTAATTTCAAATAAACTTACGTAGAATACAAAATGGAGAGATACGATTAAATTATAGCGTATGATTATTCCCAAATAGTGTATCTTTAATTACTCTTTGTATAATATGTTTCAAATGACAATAGTTTTAGCGAAACATACGAAACAAATAATATACACTTACAAACACTTTATAATGTTACTTTTTTTGTACTCTCATAATATGCAATATCAACACTAAAAATAAGGATCATATTATATGATCTATAACGATGTTTTTATATTTTTGTCATAAAGAATATATCCCAAAACAAATAACATCATACGAATAGAATTAAAAAAACTCCTAGTTAGAAAAAAAAAATAAAAAATACAAAATGTGACGCACACTACACGTAATTATAAGTTTCTCAAATTTTTTTTATTAAATTAGTGAAGTATCATCAAATGAACTTATATATTACAAAAAGAAAAGAATTGTTTTTCTTAATTTCGAATGATTTTATTTTCATGGTACACCATAGCATGGTTTATAGAAAAATTACAATTAAAAAAAATTATGTATTTATTTAAAAAAACAGAACTGTATCTGATATTTCTCTCCTACGAATTCATTTATCAATTATAACTTTTCAATAAACCGAGCTTCCGTGTGACACATTAAATCACATAATGTGCATGGGGGGAAAGTGTGTAATCAAGAATGTTTCGTTTGTGCTACCGCAGGGGATGTTAGAGCTTTTACGGGTAGGTTCATTTCTTAATTACAATCTTATCATTTCACATATAAGTAATAGGTTCTTACTCCTACGCATTTACATGCACCATGTGTTAATTCCAAGTTAAATTGTTGGTCAGACATAAGGTTAAACGTTATACAAACAATTATATATATATATACGCCTCAATCTTTCTGTATAACAACGCTACAATCAAAAACAATTTCTTGATCAGTGTAAACAATTTATTTTACATAAGAGCAATACTCTGACATCAAAAAAGCGATAATAATGAATAATGTATAGTAATAAATAAAGTATGAAATGTAAATAATGGGTATTTACAAGTATGTAAATGGCAAAAAAGCTATAACAGAGACAAAATAATTGTTCTCATCTTTCGTAAATATAATCTCGTATGTATTTTACAATGGGTTCTGTCGTTTGTTTGCAGACGTGCACCTTACGTTAATATCGCGTTATGTAGTACCTGTACACTTAGAACCTAGAGAACGTACAGCCACAACACGTATCAACATGTAAGATGCTTCTATTTTTCGCTTGCGGCAAACACATGACAGACTTGATGAGAAATACATACTAATAGTATTTAGCATGAGTGCTTATTCTTCATAATAATTCGTCTATAATATTTAGAGGGAGCACCATGATAAACACGCGGGCGGCTCTGTATCCCACTTGGAAAATCGATTAAAAATCTCGTGTCCGTACCTTCGATTAACTTACGTTAACATAAATGCACAATTCCGATCCAGTACACTAACAACCGCAATTATAACTTCTCGCTTCTATAGTTTCACGCAAGGTTCAAAGTTAAACTTTGAATCTAAATAAAAATATACAAGCAAAAGTGTCACACGAGAATATATGACAAAATATCACAGTTCCGAGTTTGAGAAGTCGCTTTTGAAAATCATGGCTCTCCCTGTCCCATCTCTTTTATCTATGTTTCAAGACAGTCATGAACTGTAAGACATCCTAGTTAACAACAACCCTACACGCTACTATGAGATTATCTATTTCAGAAATCGTAACGTTTAGTAGTAATACATAGTCATATACAACTTGCTAAGGATGCTGTAAACTGTATACTGGCTGCTAAATGTTCCATGTGAATACTGTACGTATAATGTATGTAAAAAGTCAGACGTGACACATAGATTCAGAGCGTATTGTGTAAATGAAGCCTAATTTCACTGTTTCAAAGATTAATTGCTATGAAAACCGAAATAACGATGCGCAGTTTGCAATTTGTTTCTATGGAAGAGTGATGAATAATCTGACAACATATTGTACAAAAAATGTCTCTATTGTATAAAATATACAGAATAGTTCAATCGAAGTATTAAAAGTATTAACATCTATGGCTATGTATATTATGCTACTGCCCTCAGGATATCGGTAACTTCTTCAAGCATTTTAAATAATACATCATTTTGTAAATAATTTATAAAATATCCATCACTCTTCGTACATTAATTTAGGAGGAAGAATCAGTTGATTGTAACGCGATGTGTACTTCTATTTTAAGTATATATAAAATCGAAGATGGAATGCTGATGTATAAAATTTTATGAACAATGTGTTTCTCAGTTTTCCTTAGTCTTCATATATATCCGTGTACTTCATGTAATCAGGATGATTTTTTCTCCATTCGTTTCTTATATTATATATAAAATTGATCGGTGTAGCATTTATGCACAAAGCTAAACGATAGTGTACAGCATTCCTTCCTTCTTTACGTTATCATTTGTTTAAAAGGTACAAATTTCTTTCTCCTTTGATATTCCCGGTATCATTTGCGTTTATTAATCAATCTTCATAGTTTTTTAAATGACTTTATAAGTTAAAAATGTTGCGAACATTTATGCTTAGTGATTAATTCAGCACTTACTGACTGTGTAAAAAATCAAAGGGTCCAAAAAATTCATGAAATATCGTGACTTCTATGAAACCGCAGAATATCAAACCGAGAAATTACTTGGATCCCCTTAAACACTAACGTGTTGTTTACTCGAATAGACGCATCGTAAAACGGCATGGCATTCCAGGCTAAATATTTTGAACATTTCAACAAATTGCACAGTTCAAAGTTAATAGAGATTATCCCATCTCCCTCGACATAAAATCATCAGTACTCCGGAAAGTACCTGCATAAATTTGATTATCTTAATACAATACTTGTGACTAAATATTTACATCAATGCGTTTTACAGCTTCAGTCTATTAAGCTTCTGAACCGCGACAGCCTTCAATCTTTCGCAATATGCGACAGTTTACGAAATTATTATACTATAATCGTTCGTCGAATTAACCACGTGACTTTCCTACTGAGCAGGTGGTTGCGGCTCGCTAGGCATATTGGGGTTTGGATATGGCGATAAAAATGAATAATTGGGATAAGGTGGCGGAGGATGTGGGAATGGTGGATAGTAATTAGGCGGATGAGAAGACGGAGGCGCGTAACCTCTATGTATGTATGGGTCCGCCGGTGGAGGAGGACCGTGAAATGCTGAATACATACGAGCGTAATCTGTATTATAGGTCGGCCCGCCGTATGTTGGGTACCCAGGCGCACCTACATCACAAACTTAGTTTCAACAATTTATTTCAACAATTAGTACTGTTGTACGGTATGGAGTATGTAAACTTACCACTTGGCGGATAAGTAGCTGAAGAACCTGGTGCTGGCGGATAGTGCTGCGAATATGGATCGTACGGTCCGGGCGGATAAGGTCCAGGGTACCGGCTACTTGTGGGATGACTGAACGCAGTAGGTATATGCGTATCATCCCTACTAGGGGTACTAGCGACCGTTGTAGTTACCACTGCTTCGGCACCTTTAGTTTCCGTTGTATTTGCTAACGTTTTGGCAGTAGTATTAGGTACTTGCGAATATGTAGGAGGTACATTCATCATTGTTCTATCTTCCATCGGCTTCCCTAAGTCCGGTTGCGTCTTAGTGGTGTCTACAGGCAATCTGGGATTCGATGTATGAGGTGGCACGCCGGGGAAATATGTACCGTAGGGGGTAGCTAATGATCGCGATCTAGGATCACTGTAATCGTAGTACCGAGGGTACTGTGCATAAGGATAACCTTGTGGGATATTGGGTTCACCTTGCATAGATGTTTCACGTATACTCGATTCCGTCATTTTTGGAGAAGTCATTGTATTGGTGCCAGTACATACGGATGTAGCAGTCGAGCCCACAGTCGAATCTGTTATACCTTTAGTAACTTCTGTGCCCCGTAACGTAGGTATTGGTGGTACCTGCATCGTCGATGGTGTAGACTGTTGCGTTAACAATGGCGTCAATGGCGCGGAAGAAGTTGCTTGTGTCCCAACTTGAGATGACATTTGAGGTGGCATTTGTGATGGCATTTGTGGAGTTACCTGTGGTGATACTTGTGATTGTACCTGTGGAGGTATTTGTGGTTGTACATGGGCCGGCACTTGTGGAGGTATTGGAGTTGGTATCTGCGGTTGTGCCTGTGGTGACATTTGTGGAGGTACTTGAGGTGACATCTGTGGTGGTAGCTGCGACGGTACTTGGGATGTTACTTGAGGCATCACTTGAGGTGGTACGTGCGGTGGACCTTGTGGTGGCATTTGCGAAGGCATCTGAGATGGTAACTGTGTCTGTATCTGAGACGATACCTGTGGTGGATCTTCAATTATAATCTCATCGTTAGGAGCATCCCTATTTTCTTGCTGATTTTGAAAACCATGACCATAATTCGTTAATGCGTCGTTTGTTTTCATAACTTGTTTCTCGATTGAAGGGGAACATTGTTTATTATGTTTTGATGTCAATTCCGTTTCCGTTTGCTCGTGTTGCGTTTGAACACCTTGTGTTGTTACAGTATCCGAAGCGTATACTTGACTATTCTCTTCGGATGACTTTTGCAAAGACGTATCGGTATCGGAATTGGATACCCTATTGTGATTGGAAGGACTGTAATCAGTGTTTGAACTTACTTCCGCAACAACATCTTCTAATCGAACTTCTTCGACTCTTTGTTCCGTTCTAACTTGACCATCCGATGAGTTCGAATTTTCTCCAAGCGTTGAATGATCTACTGGCTCTTGTTTCACTCTTGGTAACCTCGACAGAGAAACTTGATTCGTTAAATTAACTTGACTCGTGTAAGGCTTAGCTGTTGCGGTAGCAACGGGTTTTGGTCTTTTTGAAATTTCTTTATCGGCAAATGGCCTATAATTAGGTCCAGTTCCTGGTTTATTAATCGGACGACCACTTGTCTGATTACTCGAAGACGATTTCGGGATTATAGATATGGCGGAATTGTTTCTCAATGGAAATCCGACCTCTGGCTTAGAGTTTCTCTGCACAATCGCTGATACACCTGTAAGCATATAAATATTAAAGAAAGTAGAATTTAGCAACAACCAATATGGCTACAATGAAACTAAAACCATCACGCACCTTTTTTCGGTTCTTCTTCTCGTTTCTGTTGATTTAACTTCAGAGCTGTTCGAATCGCTATAATCTTTCCAGACTCTAATTGCATATAGATTCCTTTCGGACTCTTCAGAACCATTACTCGCTGACCAGCTTTAAGGACAATACTTCCTTTATCAGGCGAATTAGTAGGAATAACGACATCCAAAGGTAGCGTCATCTCTTGTGCACTCATTCCTTGTCTTTGCCATACTTCGGCCGGTATCCAGCGACTTCCGGTCACACCGCGTGTGCCTAAGCCCTCTGCACCACGTTGTTGCATCGGTCGAACTGAAGCGACTGGTTTGGACGTAGTACCACTGTCACCACCTCGAATTGCTCTAATTTGTAATCCTCCTGCTACAATAATACGTTTTATTAAATTATGATAAAATTATTTCAAGTAATTCAAATGTAAAAGCAAACTAAATCGTACCCCGTGTCGCGGTATTTCCAGGCACATAATTGTAACTAGGTCTCGAACAATTGGCAGCCATTTTTTCAAGTTCATATCCACGACGTGCTAATCGCTTTTCAGCTTGACTAAGCTTTTTATCCTTCCGATCTACGAGAAGGCTTTCGTGATGGAATGGCTGCTTCGTAAGCAAAGACGAGTATCGTTCCAATACACGATGCATAACTTCATCGGTATAACTATCCTTGGTTTGCGAAAAATCTTGCACTTGACTATCCTCTTCCCAATCCCAAGACAATGTAGTTGCTTCTTTCAGTGAGAGATGAGCATCTGGATTACACTGATCAACAACTCGATCTGCCATTCCCTGCTTACTAATTTGCCTGTCGTATATCTTCCTTTCCAGGCAATTGTCAGTAACTAAGCGGTAAACAAAGCACGGCTTTTGTTGACCGTACCTGTACACTCTGCAAACGGCTTGTGTATCATGACAAGGATTCCAAGAAGCATCAAAGACAATGGCTCGATTCGCGCCGACAAGATTTATGCCTAGTGAACCAGCACGCGTTGAAACGAGAAAAAGATGTATTTTTGGATTGTTATTAAACTCATTGATAAGCTTCTCTCTGTCTAAAGCGCTGGTGCTTCCGTCTAATCTATAATAATTTACATTTTTTATCCAAGCATCTGTTTGCCCGTCTGGATATTTCAAACTATTCCTAGCTAAAAAGTCTTCTATGAGATTCAATGTGAATAAAGACTGAGAAAATGCTAAAACGCGATCACCAAGCTTAATTGCTTCTTCCAAAATGCAAAAGAAAATTGTCATTTTTGCAGATGCATCAATTAATCCCGGTACGTATCCCTTCATTAATTCCGTTGCCTGCAAATTAACAAATTAATTGAATCCTTATAAATTAATATAGTTTAATGTCTATTTATATTATATTTACCCAATCATATGGAATTCCAGGATCTTCTTTTCCTCCTGGAGAACTTTTACAATCCTTTTCTTCGTCTTTTGTAAGAATTTCATCGTCTGACTTGTCTTCTTTATCTTTGTCTAATAAATCTTCTTTTTCTCGATCTTCTTCTTTCACTAAGTCAGTTTGATTCAGTCGAGGACTATGCGACGAACCAAGACTTTGAACAGATCTGGATACTGGAGTCTGGCAACCAGATTCAGAACTATAGTTGGAACTTGTAGACACGTTACTTTGGTGTATTGGTTGACTCTGTACACCAACACTCGATGTCATTTCTTTGCCATTTTTGTCGCATGATCCTGAATTTGGAATATTACTAACAGGCTGCTGGGGTTTCGAATCGTCTGTACGCGAATTCGCATCTGAGCTATGATTATTGCTGTAATCATTGAATTGATTCTGATAATTTTGTGATGGAAAGTAATTGTTTTGGTATCTATTCACATTAGGATTTACATCCCGGTAATATGGATCATTACACTGATCAGATCGAAATGGTTGAGAATAATTTCGTTGCCAATAAGGATCTTCTGGTCCCTTCATTTGGCCTACTTGGTTTTGATGCGTACCATCAGACGAGTAACTCGATAAAACCGGATTCTGTGGCTGTGTTTGGTTTACTGGATAGTTATTTGTTGGATTAGCGGACGAATTTCCACCTTGTCGATCAGTTGAAAACTCATGGGCCGTATTGGATGTCGGTGCGTAATTCTGACCTTGTTGCTGACCATCCGGTCTGGAGTAAAGTTGATCACTTTGATTCAACGAAGGAGCTGGTGTTTGCTGATTTTGGGGATATGTAAGAGACTGATTCTGAGATTGCGATACTTGTCCCTGTTGAGAAGGTCCATATCTATGAGTCGGAGTCTGTGGCATTGATGCTGAACCTTGATGATTCGAACTGTACGCATGATTTGGTCCTGGAGGGGCTCCTGGTTGGTTTTGTGCATTAGGCGGATATGAGGACTGACTCTGCGATGCTGATGAAGACACCAGATGTGAATATCCATGCAGAGTGCTCTGTGAATTTGAAACTGTGCCCTGTTGATCCTGAGGATATCCGTGTGTTTGAGTAGGAGTATTTGAAGTGGACTGTCCTGTTGGATAGGAAGATGAATTTGGTGGCACGTTTATTTGATTTGGAGCTGTTGCGGGGTATCCACGCATTTGATTCTGTGAAATCGAGGCTTGATTCGATGAATTCGTCATATAAGGGTTTGACTGATTTTGTGACATTGGATTTGTTGTTTGTTGATTGAAAGGAAGAGATGATTGTGACGAAGAATTAGTATTTACTTGAGGAGGATAATTATGGGGCTGATTAGGTAATGGCATGTTTTGGGACTGTGGCCCAGTATAAGTGTGAGAAGAATTTTGTAAAGTAAGATTCTGATTTTGTTGATTAGGTGAAAAGCCACGATTCTGACCAGCAGCTGCGCCCTGTCCTTGTTGATTTGGAAGATATCCAGTTGTTGACGTTTGAGGAGTTGCATTTGAATTTTGTTGATTAGCACTATATCCCAATGTAGAGGTTTGTAGCGGTTGGTTTTCACTTCGTGAATACATTGAACTTGTTTGCCCTGGTGCAGAACTGTAATTTTGGCCTTGATTTGGTGTGTATGGAGAATAATCGGGCATCGACATGTTTGCAGACTGATTTGGCATTTGTGATTGAAAAGACGACTGATTTGGAACTTGAGAATAATTACTGGATCCTTGATTTAAATTCGATGTATAATTCCGTCCATGATCTTGATAAGGATAAGCCTGCCGTGAAAACATTCCAGGTACTTCATAATTATTTCCTCCTTGACTTTGGTCTGGACGAAATTCGGAATTAGAAGAAGCAGTCGGATACCTTTGAGAATGACTATTTGTAGTCTGTTCATTATTTGGTACATAGTTTTGTGACTGATTAGGATAGTTTTGTGAAGTATTGTAACCTGGGGCTTGTGCATATGTTTGGAATGATTGATTTCCATACCTCTGTGACCCTTGATTATTGTAAAATTCATTATATTCTCCATGATTATTATCATTTCTGTAATATGAATTCTGGTCATTTGATCTGTAATTCGGATAACTATGGGGATACGAATTTTGTGACACTGGATTTGAGTACCCTGAATTATTCATTGGCATAGAATAATTAGTGTAATTGCTTTGTTTGGAAGTAGTATGCGAGTTATCAGACTCTATGTTGTCAGCGTTTGACGATGATGATGAAGCATTAGGTTGCACACTAGCCGCCGGTTTATTTTTTATTGTTGTATTTGTCTTCTTTCCCTTTTTAGTCTCTCCTTTTGGCTGGCGAGCTTTTGAACGTTTCCCTCCAGCTGCAGCAGGTTTTTCACCAATCGTTTCTTCTAAATCCAAATCATCTTCTTCATTAGCTTGACGCTTACGTAGAAAATGATACAGAATATCAGGATGGTTCCAGATCTTGCAACATACAGCGAACGCTTTTAAGGGATTAGGAACGGCGCGTGTTTTAACTACTTGATTCATAAATGTATCGTATAATTTGCGTTGATGCGTTGTCATCCGAACAAGAAGAATATATTCCTCTTTACGCGGCAATGAAACTTGTAATACAGAATGTGACCTTCTTTGTACAAAACCTTCCAGTAAAGCGTGGAGTACATGAGCACGATAACGCATCAATCGTATGTCCTGTGGCGTTGAGTCAATACACTGCCCATTCTGAATGGGCCTTTCAAACATATTACAGAACTCGCTTTTAGTTCCTAGGTAATTAGGTCTTACGAAGTCAACCATGCACCAATATTCCAAGAGATTGTTCTGCAATGGATAGCCAGTCAATACAATCCTACGTTTTGTGCGCATTTGTTTCAAAGCCATACTAATACTAGCATGAGAATTTTTTATTCTATGGCCTTCATCGCATATAACCAAATCAGGCCCTGGATTAACTAGAGCTGCATGCATCTCATTTAATAATCCTTTATTTTTATCTTCTTCCTCGACATCGACAGTGTCTTTGAAAGGTTGTCCACGTTTTCTCTTTGCCTTATTTGGTTTTTTTAAAGATAACTGTCTGTATAATTCATAACCGATTAACAAAACACCGCCTCCTACTTGCCACTCTTGAATTACTTTGGCTCTTGCTGTCATTGTTTTATGAGAATCATTTAAGATATGTAATCGAAAATGCCTTGGTCTTAGTTCCATTCCAATAGGAGCGTCTACACAGTCCGGAGTTTTAACTTTTTCAACCTCCTTTTTCTCTTCACTAGCTGTATCCTCTTTTGTTGTACAAGTACCTTCCTCCTTTTTAACTGGTTCTTCTGGTTCCTTCTTTACATTAATTTCTGTACCGACAGAAGACATAGCATTTTTGAAGCATTCTTTTCTCGATTCTTGATCCGATTCTTGAGTCGGTCGATTTGTATAATTAGGAAAGGAATTGGTAGAATTATCATAATTTGGATACATTGACCCAGGATGATGATTTTCTGGACTAGGGTACAAAGTACCAGGATTTCGGTTTTCTATGTTTGAATACATAGGTGGTTGTGATCGACTTTCTAAACTAGGATACATGTGACCAGAGTTCTGACTGTCCACACCAAATTTAGTATCTGGCATGCTTAGTCTTTGTTGCATGCCATGACAATTTATTTCTGGCTTTATTGGATCGAAATTAGACAATGGATTTGGATTCGTATTATACAGAGTATTTTGTGAAATGTCTGCCTGATAATTTTCATTCACATGTACTTGTGGATCCGACATATTTTTGTTTAACATACTGTCCTGCATATAACTAGACATCATGTTGTGAGTTTCATATCCTTGATGAGAGTATGGATTTTCTGACATGATATTCATAGGTTGCGGCGGATTCTCTTGCCCGAAACGATGAGCTGATTCTGTACTAATAGGCCTTGACATATTTGAAATATCACTCTGATTTCCACATTCATCTTTAACTTCCTGTTTAAGTTCTATGCCTGGTTCAGATTTAACACTTAAACTCTTAATACCTTTTTCTGTTGCATTATGGTCCTTGTATGGTAACCACATGTTAAATTCTGCGAGCCAATTTTGCAGTGTATTAATAGGCATGATACAAAGAACTGTTTTAGCTGTAGTGCATCGAAAAAATATATCACAAAAGCTAGCAACCTGAAGAGTTTTCCCTAAACCCATACTATGAGCTAGAATGCAACCAAAGCCAGAACTGGTTTTATACCTTTCAATGCTTTCTACAATATTGTCATACAGGAAACGAATACCACCAATCTGATGAGGCTTAATAATACGAGCTACCTGTGGCGCTAGAAACACATCAGGCTCAGTTTCTGGATGACCCACATTAATTAACACTCTACCATGTTCATCTGGAATGTTGTATCTATCATTGGTATGCATGCCAGAATTGGATGGATCATCTTCGTTGTCTGTTTCTTCTTCTCCGCTTGGATCGCTTAAAACTATGCAGTCGTCATCTGAACTTTCACTAGAACTAGATATTGTAACCACATCTTTGCCTTTAGCCCCTTTTTGAGGCTTTGGCCCAATACACAATTTTCTAGTTGCGTGCATTTGTTTTTCGCGTAGTGCTTCCTCAGCTTCTATGTCTGATAATTCGGAATCTGAATAATACTCAGACCTATCCATAGGTTCCTTTTTAGGAACAACAGGCGATATGCTCACGGAAGGTGTCATCATTCGAATTCTTTGTTGCAACATATTGGGACCAGTAGGACGAGTTGGGACTCTAGAAATTGATGTCTGTGCCCCTTGATACACACCCCTGCCCTTTTGCCAACGTGATCCATCTACTGTCCTTCTTTGCATTTGACTTGCTTGCATACTAGATGTGGTCTGAGATCCAGTCCCAGAATTTACTTTGAGAAGCACTGTATTTGGTAAACGAACTGGTGTAGATGAAAACGACGCTGAAGGCGATTGCGAAATGGTAGTACCTGCTTGATTTTGTTTTCCTTGTAATAGACTGATTACTCTTGTCTGTGTTTTATTATTTTGTCTATTTATTGCTATTTGTCTTTGAACTTCGCGAATGATCCTCTGTTGTTCCTGTACCCTTCGAAGACGTTCCATCTCTTGTCGTTGAGCAGATAAAGTAGCTTCATCAAGCTGAGTCTCATCCATAACTTCCCGAATGTTTCTTCTCATATTTGCCAATTTCTTTTCCGCCTTTGTTTCACATTCGGATGCAGTTCCTTCAGATCCATCATCTTTTCTTTGTTTCTTTTTAGCTGTATCAGAAAGCTCTAACTCTGCATGCCTCTTATTATTCTCACTATTGTCATCTTCCATGGAATTAGTTTCATGTTTCTCATGATCATCATGTTCTATACTGTCTTCATCGTCTGTGTCCTTTGAGAGTGGTTTTCCAAGTAAATCAGCTTCAGATACTTCTTGACCTTCTATTGGAGCTCCTTTTAATATAATTGAAAATTATAAGAAAAATATACTTATATAATTTAATTGTAATATTAATTTTATACAAACCTTCCAATGGCAAAGTATCTAATATGTTGACAGGTTCATCGTCGTCCTCCTCAGGTTGAGAATGATGTAACTGTTCCGATTCCATCCTTACCCCAATTTGAGAATCAATTGTTTCATCCAAATCCATATCATCCCCTGAACCCTCTGAACGTATTTCTTCTATTTCCTCTGACTGCAAAGTATCATTTTTCTTCTCTTGTTCTCCATCAGATGTTTCACCACTAGATTCCTCTGAACTTTCATCATTTCCTGTTTGACGCTCTGCATTACTCATGTTTGTATTTGTTGAGTTTTCATTCGAAATTACTGCTTCATTAGGCTTAGAACTTGAACGAGGGGTCACACGTTCAATAGTAACATCCCCAATACGTGTTAAAAAACTGTCCAAACTATTAGACATGATGTGCACAGTTCATTAAATCACAATGTGTTTTCATTAAATTTCATATGAAGTCATGGAATGTCTTGACACTTTTCTGCATAACACTAATAATTATTATTATTCTGAACACCACTTAAATTATTTACTCATAATTTTATATCTTCCCTTGCCTGTAATAAGAAATGTATTCCTTTATACGCTCAATTTCAAAAGACCTGCATATTCATTGCATTGATTAAATAACTATAAAAATCACACAATTAAAGAATGCACATCTGTAAACAATATCAAAGTAACAAAAACAAAGTGTTGTCATTAACCATGCAACACAAAGAATAAAAACTAAAAATATTGCACATTACACATGCATTTAATAAACATAGGATTTCGTGATTTATTCAATTTCCAATGACAGAGTATAATGTATAATAGTTTTAAATGGAAATATGTTATTGCATATTCATGGAATACATTGCTATATCACATACAATTATCTTAAATAATACACATGTACCAAAATACACTTGTATTATATATAAAAGTAAATGTAAAAAACAAAGTTTATTGCATTCCACAAGAAGCAACAAAAATATATATTTAGTAATAATAGAATGAAAATCTCTACATATTTAAGTAGACGATAATCTTAATGAGTTTATGTATAGGAATATTTACATTGAAAACGGCATGCGTGAACGAATGTTATTAAGATGAACACAGACTTAAAAACGCAAAGAACTCCGTAATAGTATATAAGTAATGAATCATTCTGAGACACTTGCAATTAAACACACTTGTTGAGAGATTAAGTTAGTCGCATTCTCAAGCTCATGAACGAACCCTAACAGCAACGAATTGGGCAGTACTGTTTAACGGGAAGGTACCGTAAATGCACAGCTTAACTCGTGACAACGTAACCGAAGGAATCGCGTTGAGGTATTCATAATGTTCCTGGTTATTTAAGGTAGGAGCTGTCAAACAGGGAGAACGAAAGCAGCCCAGAATGTTTGTTTTCGGACGAGCCGATCCGGCTCAACAATTAACACCAGGAAGTCGCGTCGTTTTGTAACCGGCGTCGTCATGTATCTTGCACACGTCAAATTCTATCGATGGTCCGCATTTACGATCGCTCAATTAGCCGTTAATTACGGATTAAAAATAATGACACACACATACACACGTTTGATAGACGCCATAGCGTCGTTCGCCGCTCGACGATCACGGTTCTCCGCAATGTCCAATGATCAGCGAACGAGCCTTGTCACTCGGGTTAATGCACGCATTATTTCGACCACGGCGTCCGATTCTTTTTCATTTAAGCCGCATGGCGAGGTTACGGAAGATCCACTTTACCACCAAAATTCCACTTAAGCTCGCACGCGTCGCTCTCAAGCTTTCCGCGGCATTTTTTTTCACGCACTTTTTCTAACAAGTATATCCCACTCGGTGGAACGCCATCTTGGCTGCGCTATAAAACACATCCGCCGAGTGTTCGCGAGGGAACGACACCCAGAATTGGGTAAAATAAGCCTTTCAAATTTTAAATAGTACGTAATTTATTCTATTTCTGAATCTGATTCATTATCCTGGATATAAAGTACCGGTTTATTTTCCATCGATTTTCTAACATCGTATTCGGAAAGAACATTTTACTTACAGATTATTAAAGATAGAAACATGGTTCTATTCAAATTTAGGTAAATTAAATATTCAAATAATGTCAAAATTTGAGTACCTTTTGAAATTGAAATATCTAAAATACTATTTTAAATAGTGAAATCGTAAATTTAAAGAAAATAATATTTCAAGAATAATAAAGATTTAATACTAATAATATAATTGATATATTAGAATGATTCAAAGAATAAGATGAAAATATTTCAAATACTTTGTAAAGGTTGAAAATAAAATTAGATAAATTTGAATTTATACTGTTTTGCAGATTAATATAAACAATGTATTTTGTAATCTTCCATATGTTCATATAGTGATATAAAAGATTTTCGGCAACAGGTCATTGTATTTTCAAAGAATACTTAGTTTAAAAAATCAATATGTATATGTATTTCAGATTTTATTTAATCTTGATGAAATTATGTTTTGTTATATAATTCATAATCATAAAGGTGTTCATGTAAGTATACACAGTATTTACATCATATTATTTTATATTAGAAATTATATTATTATTTATGTCTCTGTTTTATGACATAAAAATTACTCTAACAAAACATACAGTACAAAACATTACATGTATTTGTTGTTTTCATAAATATTATGCAGATTATAGTAATTTCATCACGTTTCTTATGACTTTTGAAAGTATATATTTATATACCTACTAAGTAAATATGATATATATATATGACATATATATGAATATCAGATGACTAAAATTAGTACAATTTAGTACCTAGTGTAGTATAATAGGAAATGTGTAGGATTCTATCAGTCTAAACTATAAAAAGTATAGAAATATAAATGACATAGAATTGTTGCTTTGCATTGCACATAGGTTTGAACTGACATTTGAATGAAAAAAATGAATAAAGCTGTCAGCTTTGTACTTATGATACACAGTGATAACAAATGTTCAATTTGCAGTCTCACATGCATCAATCCAATCATTATATACATCTAGAGGTTCCGATAGCAAGTTTATTGTAGTTTGAAAATCTTCTAAACAAACTCTACAAGTAATTCTTGCTGTATTTCTTGGTTTATCCCTGAAAATAAAAAACAAAACAGTAAAATACGAACGATAAGTAACAGTAGTCTGTAATAAACATAGTATACGCACATCTTAACCTCACATGATTTTTCGTGGTTGCAAAATGGGCAATTAAATTGCGTATCTAAGGGTTGAATAGCTTTTTTTTTACTCGGTGGCTTTCGCTTACTTTTTCTTCGTCCCATTACGCCTTAAGTATATAAAATTACGAGTGTTTTATGCAAACAATTGTCATTCGAAATATAAAAGCTGTACCAACAAGTGCCAACAAGCTTCGGTACTATTTGTGTTGTGAATTAACGCGTGAAATCAGCAGAAGTGGTAAAACACTGTAAAGTTCATAAAAAATTATTAAATAGCTCACATCGCTCACATCAGCTTACATACATATACGACACCCAAGCATCACGTTCTTGCACTTACAGTACTGAAAAGTAATTTGAAAATTACTATTATTCGTTTTCGAAAAGTACTCAAACTATTGAATTATATGCATCATTTTATTCATGGTCGATAAACGAGTACTACCTATTAAATAACTGTATTATTATAAACGGTATCTTGTAACTAATGGTACAATTTTCGTACAAAAATAAGTCGAATAAAATTTTTCCATATTTGGTTTCGTCTTTTTTACTTATATTTTCATATAATAGACTCAATTCATTTCAGGTTGATTCATCAGCAGAAAACATAGTGTATATATACATTTATATAGGTTTTGGTTATGTAAATGCAATCAAAAGACACGTGCGACAGTTTAACATTCATGCATTGTTAAAAAATGGTTTTTCAAAACGTAGTATAGAAAATATTTTATCATTGCCAAACCAGTGTTTGTTATCGTTATTATTGGGATGCAATGAATACTTTAAATTTGTATCCTTTTAAAAAAGTAACTGTATACTTCTTAAAAATATTACACAAATAACCTTAATTTTTAATAGAAATTTGTCTATACCTTTCCCTTCGGCAAGGGAAGCGGAAATTGTTTATCAAGTACTTAGAGTTGACAAGGAACCTTCAAAAGGCAGTGTTTCAAAAGAACTTACACTAGATAATAATTTATTGCAGGTGTAAGTTTCGATCATTCATACTAAGTTTTAATATTTAACTACAATTATCTATTTGTGACACTAATGTGCATTACATTTTATAGAGTAATTACTGGGACAGAAGCAAGGAAAGTTCGAGTGGCATTGACAGCATTTTTTGATAGTATAATTTTGGTAACAGAAACTATTCAAAAATTTGGTCCTCCTGCATCTACTTTTAATTATTATTAAATAAATATTCCATTGCCTATTGTTTTACATTATTTTAAATAATATTATGTAAAATGGAGCATACTCCAGCTCCATATGGACCAAGATCTGTGTATGGATATGCTTTATACATAGGATCGAATATGCTCTTTTTTTTGTATTTGGTCTGGGCTATAGTGCCAGATTACATTTTACATAACTTAGGATTAACATATTGGCCCTCTAAGTATTGGGCAATAGCAATTCCTATTTGGGGTTTAACTGCCCTTGCAACTTTTGCATTTATCATTTATCCAGCTATAAATTTATCAATGACACCAGAAATAGATGATATTAGAAGCATTAGAGACAAATATTCACATCAGAAAAAGGAAACAGTTCCAGGTGGAATACCTCCTGTGTTCGATATTCCAATAACAGAAGTTTCCAGAAAATTATACTTGCCAAGAAAGAAATAAAAATTCTATGAAAAACTGAAATAGTATAGCAATTTTTAATTCAAGTACAATAATATAACAATCTAGTAAATATTTCCTGTACAAAAAATGTATTGTAAATAAAAAAATTCATATCAATCTTTTCTAAATCATACATAATATATGTATGTAATATTACTTTTTTGTGAAGTTATTTGAAAGATTGTACTGTCGTACTGAACCAGTTATGAATCTCATGTATTGCATAATCTGATATTATCAAAATCCATTTTGTGTAGCTCAGAGAAGAAGGAAAAACTATCCAATCGTTAAGAGTGACTTTTACGGGCAAGCAATGAGTAGGTAGATTCGTTTTGGAAAATAAAATATCCAAAGATGCAGTTGGTGATAATAAGTACAGTAAGGTTATGAATTATTTTCGGTTTAAGACACTGGACATGAAATCGTTAACTTAAAAAAGGTATTGAAATCCACATTTGAAAGAAAAAATACATTCTGCAGTTTCGAGATTTCACCAGTAAAAAATAATGACTTTTATCAAAGGTTCGTATATTACACACTGTATATACAACATGAACATATTTATACGTCTGTTAATTCCTGATTAAAAGCTTTTTTAGTGAAATGGATCAATATCATCCTCTTTTTTACACGTTGACATGTCACATGAAAAATATGACAAACAATTTTCTATCTTTAGAGTTACTTGATCAAATTCCAAGCAATATAATTGTCCATCTAATTGCTACCGGTTTAAGACGTGCCGATATATTATTTATTCTAAACAGAGCTTTAGACCTTGGCGTAACCAATATTTTTGTGTTGAGAGGAGGTACTTGTATAAATATTCATGCATAATCTTTTGCAGCAAAATGGATGTTTTTTAAATTTTCCAATTTTTAATCCAATAAAAATTTAATTTCAGACTCTAAAGTTGCGAATAGCGATTTTCTATACGCTGCAGATTTAGTGCGTTTTATAAGAAATGAATTTGACGATATATTTTGCATAGGTGTTGCTGGATATCCAGAAATGCATGCAGAATCACCCTCCAAAGCATTAGACTTGCTATATTTGAAACAGAAAGTAGTTATTTTAATACAATTTTACTTGGAATTTACATACATACAATAATGGCATATCTTAATGTTAACGTTATTTAAAGGTTAATGCGGGTGCTGACTTTATAATAACACAAATCATTTTTAATGCTGATGTTTTTATTAAATTCGTGAACGATTGCAAAGCAATTGGAATCAATGTTCCGATTATTCCTGGTATTTTACCAATTTCTAATTACACGTGTCTCGAAAAAATGGCGAAGATTTGCAATTTTAAAGTACCAGAGAATATTTTAAATGTTTTACAATCCATACAGTACGACGATGATAAAATCCGCAATTATGGAGTAGAATTAGCTATAAGTATCATTAAAGATGTCATTTCGAGCGGAACTACTTGTGGTTTTCATTTGTTCACATTGAACAGGTAAGTTTCTGATTCGTTAATAAATTTCAAGTAAAAAAAAATTTAATTTTTGTTTGACATTTGACTTTATAGATGACTCAAACCAAACCGAATCTTGTAGAAATTCAAAGTTTATTAATATAATATACAATATATGTATTAATGTTTTAATAAATTGCAGAACATCATTATCATCAGAAATATGCAGGAAATTAGATATTTTCAAATGATTATACAAGGATGGGAGAAGTTCAAAGAATACAAAAAAGATTTGTTGTAAAAAAGATTGTACAATGTATTCAAGTTTTAGACAATAAAATACATTGTAATAAACATGATTACATATAACGAAATTGTATTACCCGCTGAATTAAAAACTAATTACCAATCGTTAAAATTCCCTATACTGTACACTAAATTTTTTTTATACATTTGAAGTTCAATTACAATAACACAAGTAAATGTCGTCTTTGCTTTATTGAACTATTCACTGACTAAAATACCGGAAGAATAATATCTTTTAGACTGTTTTGGACTTTTCGTAATCATAACATGGCAGACTGTTAGATACAGATGATCCTTCGAGGATTTTGTCAGTATGCGCATGCGCTGTCGGCGTATGTCTGACGAACTAACGGAGGAGTTAGTTGAGTTGGGCGCCAGAGCTCCGCGTGGTCAGTTGGATAGTTGGTTTGACGGTAACAAGAAAGAAGAAGGACCGTAGGTCAGGATACACAGAACAATGGCACTCTTTCGTTTCAGTGCAAAACGGTGTTTGGAATTTCAGGTATGTGATATACGAATCCACTGAAAACAGATCGATCTTGGAACGCAATACGATGTTTGAATCATTCTTAAAACAGTACACGTTGTTCCGGTGCGAAATTCGAACGATGAGCAGATGTTTGACGTGTACCCGTAATTTTCGTGAATTCACCGGTTCAAGTTTAGTGTTCTAATCATTCAGAAATACATACTTCACGTCATTTGATTTCGCAGTGGTAGAACTTTGCACACTGCAAAGAGTCAAGACACCGCAATTCTAGATACAGAGTAGGCGTTTATCGACCGATGGCCTAGTAACTTATTCTATATTCTGACTTATTCTGTAAAGTGAAGATTCAAACAAATTCTTCTATACCATGCACATCAATCATACTACGGAATATCAGGGAGCCAAATTCGCTTCAATCAGATAAAAAGGTCGTTTCGTTGTCACTCGAAGGTTTCCTGACGTATCGAGCGTGGGTCCAGGAGCACCTTCGCGAAGCTCCAACAATGCATATTATTTCGGGGCAAACTGTCTTAATATGTGAACACCGTATAGAATTGATTCGTTCGATTCAACAGTGACGTAAAGTATGTCAAGAATAGAAGAACGACCACGTATCTGTCTGATTCCTGAAAAATTTACGTAAAATCGTATCAAGTGGTACAAGATTTACCTGCTCGATATACCGTAGTATTAATCTTAGAGCCTAATAGTAGTTACGTAATAAATTTTTGCAAGATATATAATCATTATCATCCATCGCAAATTATACGTTGGAAATAATCGTTTAACAATTATGATAAACGACTTTAGGTTGACAGGAGGACACGGCGGAAAATAGAGTTTCAGACGGTTTTTTTTTTGTGCATTGGTTTTTGGACATTCGCAGGTGATAGTGATCAGTTAGGGCGCAAAATGTAATTCGTACCAGAAACGTATGCTCCAAATCGGTAAATCGTATTGAAAGATGCAGGACAGACGGGAATAATAGTCTTGTCTTCGCCGAGAAGTAGAATTTCTTGAATTTGACAGGGAGAAGGTTCGCCAAATGTTGGCTTCCATTCATCGTCACTAAAAATAAAGGGGTAGCCAGTCCAACCGAATCGTGAGAGCTGTCAGTCGATTTCTGTTACCGCGAATTCTTAGAACACAGAACGTCGCGTTTACGTGGCCAATCGTTAACCAAAATGGTCCCGCGCTGAATTATAAGGCCACGACACACACGTTTGTAGGTCACAGGAAAACACCGTGCGCGAAATAGTTTAGAGTGCCTCCTCCGGTGGCCAAGATGCCCATTGAAGAGTGCACTGCATTACAATTTCGTAAGGGATGATAATTTTAGAACGAATTCGAGGTCAAAATCTGTTCCGCCCTCTTGATCCACATTGGTCGTGACCTGTGCTTGGCAGACACCTGCTTACCGATCGTGTCAATTCGAAATCGTAATTGAACCAATTCTTTTCTGCTTGTATAAAATGAATGATACATGGTTTTCATGGTATTAATTTCTTGACTGAACATATAAAATTTATGCAAATACTTCAATTAACATACGTTTGTATAAATATATTTTATAGTTATATATTAGGTCTACCGGAAAGTTCTGTCTGTTTTTGAATTGAAAGAAAGTAACACATTTATTAATATTTACTGAACAATATAATGATTTGATTTGCGCAGCGAGAGAATCATCCTATGCAATGGTAAAAAGAGACAGCCATATATGTTTCAAACGAACACATTCATACGTGTTGAAACTTGTCATGACATGATCGAACAGAACTTTCCGGTAGACCTAATACATATATGTAGAATAATATTTGTACTATATGTATATGATTGTGCATATATAACAGTGTATGTATATGCACTTAATTTTCATAAAAAGTATAATATATATTTCTGTAAAATATGTACATAAATGCAATATAGTATATGTATAATATATTGTACATATACTTATACTATATACCTTCTACATATAAAATGAAATAAAAATGTTTATTTTTTTAATACATGTGTTATTCATGTATTTCTTATAAAGAAATGATAATTAACATCTTGTATTACATTATACAGTAAAGTGCAAATACTGGGTAAAAAATGTATTTGCATAATCAGATAGCTTACAATCAATACATATATTGCTGAGGAATGTAATCTAAGTGTCCATAAAATTATTTTTATATTCTATATTTTTAACAAAGGTGATTAGATATCAGCTATTATTAATTAAACCAATATGTATCGTTCATTTTATTCGGTGATTGTATTACAAAGTATGGTGTACATGTATCATAATTTAATATTTCACAAGTACCGTATGGGTCACCGATGACCCAAGCTATTAATTTATCTATTAATTCACTGTTAATTTAGTTTTACACTTCGAATTCCTTAATACCAGTTGACGTGAACAGTACAAAGTCTATTGGGTCTGATTTTTGGCAGATTCGAATAATTTTAGCCCAACTTATAGATGGCTCGCCTATTACCTAATATCGTAGATATACGAACGTGACCTTCGGGATCGCGTAACACGCTCAGAAGCGTATGTCTTTTTGTTTTTTTCATCGTAGGACAGAATCATGTATTAGTAACATTCACTGCTCCCAATCGCAGCTGTCGGTGTGTTCGATCATAGGCACATATCGTGTATCCAGTTTTTCGATCGTCTGTCGATCGAAACCGGTCTATTAATAAACTTCCTATAAATAATTACAGAAATTAACGGGAATGCTATACCCGATACCTTTGTCACGAAGAAACGTCGTTTCCTCTTTTTTTCATTACACCGTCAACACACTCGCGATAAACGAGCGTTTTATTTTTATATTCGTTTTTATCTTTCTTATGAACGTTCCTTCGATGCATTTAGCCGAAGTATTGTTCTTCGGTTTGTCGATTAAACATATCACAAAAATTGCGTAGAAACCGTATTATAGATCGGCCAGAATTTCAATTTTAGTAGTTCAAACAGAGATAACGTCACTTCACCTCGATGTTTGTGAATACATTAGGGGAAAGATAATCATAAAATCAATCGTGCAACGTTCGTTACATAATATTCAGATCGTAAAATCGGCTGTGTGAAATTGATTATATAAAACATATTCTGTAAATTTGCATGTTTGTAATTTTACAAAATTTTTTTCTTCTGTCATATTCTACTTCGAAGTATTTCAATATTTCCGTGTAAAAGTCATTCGAAGCGAATGTTTTGGACGAACCTGTAGAATTTTGCATACAATTATGGGTCTAGTTGTTCGGTAACTTTCAGCTCAAGTACAAGTTCACTTTAACTTCCAATCGTCGGCAAGACACGACAGAGCTGTTAATAAAGGTTGGTTCGCGCGTGTCACCCTGTTGGATCATTTTAGCGCCATTTGACGATTATATGGCGCGAAATCAATTAGATAATTGTAGCTCGCGGGTGTTTTCCGTCTGGTAGTGCCCTTCACAAGCTGGTCGGTTATGCAATCAGTGATAACGAGTGCTATCAGTGCGGATATATATGATACTGCCAATAATTAATCAAAGGGACTGTTAATGTCCCCTGATTCCATCGAGATCATGATAATGTGTTGATAAGAACATTAAAATGTGTCCAATAATGAAATTACAGGACCACTTAACAGAACTGCTAATAACTTTAAAATTGAACAATTGAATATTTTTATAAATGAATAGGTATTAATATTATATATGATTAATATGACCTTAAACAGTTATTTTAACCCTTAACCACAGACGATAACGTCTCAGAAGATGAATAATCCGACAATGACTAGCTTGGAATACTTTTAATAACCAACTGAACGTTATTTTTCAGTGCCACTCACTGAATCTAAGTACGTCAATTGAGGGTACTCAAACGCTAAAGCTACCAAAATTCTCCACTAGGTTGTGATGGTGAAATAAAAATGCAGACTCTTCTCTGCTCATGGACTAACACAGTCCAAAGCTTACTTTCCAAAAAAGTAGAAGACCCGTCTCTGAGACGAGTTGTCTATAGTTAAAGGCTACATTGAGGAAAGATTGTTTTGAGAATATCGATTTATGTAAATTTTTTCTCGTATATTTTGCATCAACGGGATTTTGTAAGGGTGTCTTATAGCTCGTTAAATCATAAGTCCAACGAATGATATTATGGTCTTATTCAATTGAATGTATCTGCATATAATTTCACGATTAGAACTCTATTACGTTGATATCGTTCGGTCCAGAATGCGTTCGAAAGTCTAGGAGATTGAAATTCCTCGGTGAATGAAACAGAAGGTCGGCAATCTGCGGTGGATTAATTCCGGGGGCGAGAGGAGGAAGGCTTTCTCGCGGCGAGGCAGCGATCGTGCTAGCCTACTTTTGCTCGGAAAAGGAAATAAGGGTCAGATATCTTTATTTCCTTGAAATACAGATAATCACGAAAATATTTCTATCTGAACGCATCACTTTCGACAAACTATACGTATTCGTTGAAATCATTTATTCAACCCCCGTTATTCGAAATTCATTAGTTTCAGAAAACACGTGGTCATCCAACCTTTAACTTTTTCTTATTATCTATTAGAAATAAGTCCTAAAATTGTTCTGACCTTCGGCAAGAATACGGTAGATGAACATTCCGATTTAGTAAAATCTTATTTGCATTCCAAATGGTACTGTAATATTCGCGGGCCGTTTTTCATTCTTAATAACCAGTATTTCTAGGGGCAATCACGTGGAACGTAGTAGATTTTTTCATTCTGTATTAGCCAGTTATATAGGATATTACATAATAAGTGTATCGAAATATTTTATAACATTCATTATAGAGAATTTATTGTATAACATCCACGAAATATTATTCAAAACGTCAACTTCGTCGTAAACGTCCGAATCTCGTGAACAATTTGAAATACACCTTGGGTCCGACCTCGAACAAGCGTCACCGCATTCTTCAGCCGCATCGCTATTTCATCGATGAACTTTGGGTGCACGGATCAATGGCACCGCATTGTCCGGGTGCACTGGGTTAA